GTTGTCCAATGGAGCATATCATTTGGAAGATTTAGATGGCACCAAGCACGTGAGATTCATCAACGACAAATATTTGAAAAAATATGTTCCTTCTTTATGGGGAAGTGAACAGATATAAGCATAATCAAAACATGTTGAACGATTAAGGATAAAAGGTCAGAGCGAAATACGTTCAAATAAATTCTTTTATTATCAAACGTTCATTACAAAGTTACAAAATACCAATAATAGATGCTCTACAAGCTACAATTAAAAGTAAGCTAATCTCCCGGTCGATCGCCGAGTAAGAGGGTGGACTGGCCTCGCACCGCCTCCCTAAATGCATCACTGCAATAGCGGGCAAAGAGGCTGAGAAGCACTCTCAGCAAGCAAGGTGGCACGTAAGCATCCCAAAAATTGGCTTCCATCATCGAACCCCTTGTAAAGAACAAAGAGACGATGGGAAGAACTTTGATGGGAAAAACTTCGCTGCTAGTCAAAAAAAATATTTTCTATATCTCCCATACCAAAGATAACATCAACACAAGTAGTAAAATGGGCGGACCAAACAATCCATTTTTATAGAAGATGAAGGTTTTGGATTGATTGTCAGAATGCAAAACAATGGCAACAAATTGGTTTCGAAGAAGAGAATGAAAATGAAGATGGAAGATGGAAAGTGCGAAGCATACGTGTATTTATAGGGGGGTGGAGATGAAGAAACAGAATATGAGCAGCCACATTCTGCCTAGTAAATGGAATTAAGTAGCCCAAAGTCTTGAGAAAAGAGGTGGAAATATCAAGAGAAAATGTGCAAGATTTTTAGCACAAAACAGTTAAATGCTTGAAGGATTGGCGATTAAAAGACAAACGTCAAATAAATGCACAAGAAGTTAACATAGATGTTCATTAATGATGTACAAGGTTACAAAGGGAAAGTCAAATGCGAAATTACAAAAAGAAAAATTTAAGGCATTATATGTCTTAATTACAATCCGCCCCATACCGAACGAATTCTTTCCCTAAGTTTTCCCCAGTCCTCGTTCTGCCGAGAGGAAGTGATGTTCAATTCGGCCACAACATCATCATCAACTTCCAACATCTTGTACTGCTCGACCAAAGACTTAGTTCGCTCAATTCCTTAGGAGGCGTTACGCTTTTTAGCAGCCATTCTCGTCTTGCAGTCGTCCATTTTGGCTTGAAGTTCTTTCATCTAAGCAGCCAAACTAGCCATCAAAGAGTTTTCAATCATGACTTCGGAAGAGATTTCTTTCAACTCGTCCTCAGCTTTGTTGATCTCCAGAAGCAAAGACTCTTTTTCAGATACGGTGCGAAGATATTGAGTACTTTTGGCCTTCAGTTCAACATTCTTGGCCAGCAAGGAGAGGACCTAGGAATGGATAACTTTCAACATCGCTTTAAAATCAGCAGAAAGATTGAGCGATGGAAGTGTCAGTGCTTGCTCCAACTTCGCATTCAAATGCTCAAGCTTATCCTTATGTCTGGCAGCACTAGCCTTACCAATGTCCATATCCATGAAGGACACGTACTCAAATATTGACTGCTTGAAAAACTTCATATCTTCCTCTGAAGAAGTAGCAGGACAACCAGCTGGAGCAGGGCGAGATGTCTTGACTTGTCCCCAGGAAGCGAACAAGTCTTGGATGGAATGCACAATCTTATCAGCATCCTGTAAAGAAAATTGCCAATATTGAAGATTCTCACTACAACGAACAAGATGGAAGTAAAAGTGAAGCAAAGATTACCTCATCAATAATCTTGGAGGATGGCATATCCCCAGCCAATTCTGCCACCTGTGGCTCCACCATTCGTGAGGACTTCTCCTTGTCTAAGCGAGAAGATGTTGCCACAACGGGCAGACTCATAGGAGCATCTGCAGAACTCAAAAGCAACAAATCAGAAATCAATAGCACAAGCAAAGGTAAAGCATCAAAAAACTAAATTACATTCTGCTTCGATGTTTGGGGGGTCGACGCCCTGGGAAGAAGGTGGCTCATCCATTGGTTGTGATGAGGATTGTGGGACTGAAGATGTGTCTTTAAGTGTAGTCCCTTCATCAGCTGGTTTGGATGAAGCAGCCTCAGCGGAGGATGATGGAGCAGGAGCTGCCGACACCAAGGCCTTCAAAGGAGAGGCTGAACTTTTCTGAGAAGTCCAAATAAACCATCAGCACACAGAAAAGTTTCAAGTAAGGAAAAGTATGCTTGTGAGTAAACCAATTTAATTACCTTCCTCCTGATGATAAGAGGGGTATCATCATCATCAACATCATCCTCCAGAATGGGAGATACTGAGGCTGGCCGTTTGCCGCTCGGGGCACTTTTGGCTGCAGTAGGCTTGGCAGGGAGAGAAGAAGATGGACGAGCAGACTGTTTAGCGCGACGAGGAGGAGAAGGACTCCGGATAGACAAAGGGGTGACTAAAACAGTAGGAGGGGAAGAAATGCTTGGCTGGCCCAGTGAATGAAAGGCACGATTGGCATCAGTCGCAAACAATCTGCGCTTCACTGACGGCCAGAGTTGTTCAAAAAGGAGATGGATGGCACGGCTAGAATTGAAGGGGGCTAATGAAAAATGGCTCGTCAAAAGAAGATTGCGAGCATTTATAACCTCTGCCTCCGCCTTATTAATGATATAGAAGTGGTCTATCAAGTTCCTTGAATAGCAAGGAGGAACAGCCAGGTTTGGCCGAAACCAAGTTGGCGAGCAAAAAATTGGGGAGCATATATTTCTACCCCAGCCTTGGCATTGGTCCCAGTCAAAATATCATGAAATAACTCTCTCCCGATTAAAAAATGGATCCAAATGAGCAGAGAGGTGCTCGCACTGTCTATAGTGGAGAGAGGATGCACATAGTCTGGAGTCAAAATGGGAGGAAAAGGAAAGAAGGAAGGGATTGAATCCAAAGAATAAAAGAATGAAAAAATGTCCCTTCTAGACATATTTACAGGAGCAAGGGGCTCAATAGCTAGCCCATAGCAGCTAGCAGAAGGACGAGAAAATGATGAAGCACCAAGCGATGGAAAATAGGATCTCAACCACATTTGAGTGAACCAAAGAGGTCCACTGCTAGTGGGAGATGCACCATTCTTCAATTGAGTTTGAAGAGAAGCCATGCCTCTATAGAGGGCAGCCAAAAAGAAAGAACATAAATTCAGAGGCCTGTCACGCACCAATTCGTGCGCTATGGGTAAATAGCTCAGGGAGGGCTTTATGCTTGGTACACACAAAACATATTTACAAAGCCAAACCAGACGTAAGGCCACTTGCTCAGTATGGGAAGGCTCAGCACTCGAGTGATTATGAAGGGTTTGCAGGCTTGAATAAGACTCGGTGAGATTTTTACCAAACTTTGGGACGCCACCAGAAACCAAGATACCATGAAAAATGGTATCGCCCAAAGGTGGCAAATTCACTAGGGCCCCAACATCCCTTAAAGTAATAGACATGGGGCCAAGAGGGAAAACAAAGGTATTATACTCAGAAGACCAAAAAGTTAAAGCGATCGAAAAAAGTGCTAAATCAAAAGTAGGGGGTTGAATAGAGATTTCTAACAAATCAGAAATCCTAGCAATATCAAAAAGTACCTCAGTAAGACCATGGTCCATAAGGCGAGCATGCCACCTACGGAAAACTACATCAGATTTAGGCCAAGTGAGAATACCTCTTTCACGAAGTGGCCCCAGCGGTAGAGAGTTTAGAAATGGAGGGCCTTGAGTACAAGGGAACAGCTGGCCCACCGCCGCTTCTTCGACTGCCTCTACATTGTTGAAGAAAGGACCTAGGTAGAACTCATTGAGTTCGACATTGGCAAGTGCGAGAAAGTTCGGAGTTATGTATGGACGATTAAGGAGTTTCTGAAAGTTTTCAAAACTAAAGGAGTCGCCAGATTGAGATTGTGAAGTAGCCATTAGGGACGAAATGGAGTTTTTCAGAGTTACGTAGCAGGGAAGCAAAGAGATGAACAGTAAAATTGTGAGAGAGAAGCGCGAAAAAAGTGAGGTGTGATTTAATGGTGTAGTGAAATGGCGTATTTGAGGGTTATAAGGGTTTGCAAAACGTCGTACATTTTCAAGCTATGGACGAAAACAATGATTGAAATTCTTGGGAATTTCGAATGTTGCTGGAAACACAAAGTGAATATGGCAAAATTTAATAATTGGTATTAATTCTGCCATATTGGGGGGTAATTGTTGACACATAAAAATTCAGCCCAAATCGAACGACCCAAGAAATGAAGCCCAATTGGAGGATTCTCAAATCAGATAGCCCAAAGAACGAAGCACAATCAGACAATTCAGGATGAAGGCCCAAATAGGGAGGCCCATGAACGCGGTAACACCATCGCCCAAGCTTGCAAGTCGCCCAGGATCTGAGCGAATGGAGTGTCATGCAGTCGCCCAGAGCTGCTACTCTATTCTTGCCCAAACCTTCGAGTCGTCCAAGGTCTTAGCAAACATGAAGTGTTATGGTTATCAAGAAGTGCAGTTATCAAAGCAGTTATTAAGCAGCCCTATCACGTTCCACGATTCAAGGAATTTAATTGAAGACGGTTGAACGACAAAGAGTAATGACAGCAGTTAGAAAAGGCAGTTCCATGACAAGTTGGCCATTACGAGGAAAGTGGGCAGTTATAGAACGATCAAGCAGTTTTTAGGCGGTTGATCACAAAGAGATCATCCAGGGAGTATAAAAGGAAGAAAGACATAGAGCGAAAGACCCCGAATCAAACACTCTCAAACAGAGAATATGTAACTTTCAATTTCTTAGTTTAGATTTAAACACTTCTTTCAGTAACTCGTGTGCTTGCGCCCCTTGGAGACATTCTATTTTTACTTTCCAATTATAAAGTCATCGCCAATAAAGAACGCCCGTTTTTGGGACTTTGTCTCAAGAGGTTTGTCCCTTACACAACTGTCTGATCCCTTTTTAATTGTTAGCGACTAACCCGCGCGAAACAATATCTCATGATTTGTTAGTATTTTTATTATTTTAGAAAAAGGAGAAATCAAAATCTTTCTCATTTAGTGTCTGGACAAGTTTGCTTGTTGAGACACTGCAAATGTCCAGAATTCCGAAATTCAATGTCATCCTTACTTTTTTTCTATGGGACTTACTTGTGTGACAACTAGGTCGAAATTAGTACATCTTTGCAAATTTTTCAATGACAATTTCTCTAGAGTTTGTTTCTAGCTCTAACCGCTAGATAATGGAGTTGAAAATCAAGTAGGATTGTTGTGTAATTGGTCTCCGTAGGATGTTTATCCTTGCCCATTTTATCTAACTTATGCCTCTTTACACCTGCCAATTTCAGCAGATAATTAAATTATCATTTTTGAATATTTTGTTTTAGATTATGATTAAATATTTTGCCTCTAGTGTTCCCTTTCTTCTTCTCCTACTGTCTTGTTATTTATATTTTTCGTAAGTGTGTTGTGGTGCTTTTGGTTATGTTCTTATGCATATAATTCCAATGAGAAGAATATTTTTTAGAAAAATGGAATCTGTGGTTATATTTTGGTTAAGTTGTTAATATTTGTTCATTATCTTCATTAGAGGTAAGAATATGGAAACAATGTCATTGTCCAATCAGAACAAACACCTTTTTGTTGGCATATTTTACAATAATGTGAAAGCAAGAAAGTTGCAATGTTCCACGTTTACATAAAAAATTATAAAGGCAAGATCAATCAAGATATGATTGTTGCTACAAAATCTGATTATGGGATAGAGAGATTCAAGGGTAAGTGAAACCATTTACGTGAGGTGCATCGCTTGTTCTCTGACCTTTTCTGGCGTACAGGTGTTACATGGGATCCAAATACCAACCAAGTGAATGCTACAAAAGAAGTTTGGCAACACTTTTTTCATGGTATGTATTGTAAAAGAAAATTTTTAACATTACTGATTTATGTTATCATTTTTGTTTTACATTTCGCTATACAGTTTATTAATGTGAGTTTTTTATTGTACATAACAACAATGACTACTAGACATCAGGAAGGAAGGATGTAAGCACTGTGAATTACTTGGAGTGACTTTTAGTGGGACCACAACTACTGGAGGTCTAGGCAATGCTTCTACTCAGCTAATTTGAATGTCAGAGGAAGAAAGACGGATAGAAAATGAGTTTTTGAGAAGTGGAGTGCATGTACGCGTGGAAAATGATGATGGTGAAGTTTCAAATATTCATTAATGTGATGATACTACACCCAACAAACGCCAACATAAGGAACTCAAAATCAATAAAGGTGAAAAACTTGAGGAATTTATGGCATAATGGTCCTCTACTGTTAGTACGAAGAAAGAGGAAACAGAACTTAGGATGCTATACCTTAAAAAAAAAGCTTGCCCAAATCCAAGAAAAATCATCTAATTACAAGGGCACTAGTGAAGTTACTCGTCCAGACCCTTATTCAAATATGGAGTGTTTGAACATCTTAAACAATATGGAAGGTAGTGTCTAATGAGATTTACATGAAAGCAATAAAGCCTTTTAAGGATCTAGATTTCAGGATGACATTTGTGATGATGCCAAAAATTAGGAGATGACCTATCTTGGAACTTCTTTAATTTGCCTGATTGGTCAGGTTGAGTATTTTGAACTTTCAATATAAGATTGTGTTTTCTTCATATATTAATTGTGAATTTTGTAATTCTCAAGATTTACTAGTAGTTTTATTTTAATAGATGTATTGGATTTTGATATTAATATATGTTGGAGTATTACTATAAATGATTATGGAAAGTGCATAAATGATACGGTGACAATGATTTTTTATATAAAAATAATTTTGATGTGATTGTTCGAGTATACATACAATGATTCTTTTTTTTTTTTTACCAACTTTAAAGTTTATATTTTTTTAATCATAAATTAGAATAAATTTGATATGTTTTATTAAATAATCAAATTAATTGGAAAAAAAACTATCGAAAAATTATTTCTAAAAGTTTTAAACCAAACAATTTTTTTAGTTTTTGTTTTGAAAAACAATTTTTCAGAACTGATAAACAAAATGTGTTTTCTGCAATCTTAAACTCAAAACAGAAAATAGAAAATGAATTCAAAATTAAAAATAGAAAATAGTAATGCAAAACAAACACAGCCTAAGTGTTTGTCTCTCTGCTACAGCTATGGCACTTGAAAGATTAGAGAGAGAGGTTCTAAGGTTTTGGGAATTTTTTTACGTTGTCAGTTGTACTATTTCATGCTTGATATATGTAATGGTTAACATAATATCACATGACAATTTATCATTGAACTATTTAAAATGTATGCAGCTTTTTTATTTAATCATATCTTACCAACACTTATTATGGCACTCTACTTGTCACCTACTTTGTGGTAACGTAGCATTATACTATTTGGAAACTAAGAAGTTGTGACAGTTCACACGTCACAGTTTAACTAGTTGACGTTGACTTTGACTTTTTAGATTTGTGTAAAAAAAATATTTTTTTTTCTTTTTAGTAATAATATTTGTTGTTTATTTAATCATCAGAAAAAATGTAGTCAACTCTATGTTTAGCGTGATCTGGTCTTGTTTTGGTATAATATGACTATATTCAATGTGTATCACCACTAATAGATTGGTTTATTAAACATATGATGTTATGAGATATGATTGGTTCAAAATTTCTTCAACCAAATAAAAAAAATAAATTCACTCTCTCTTTTTAATTCCACATCAATTTGTAAAATTTTCGAACTTCTCATGTACAAGTAGCATTGTTCTATTCGTATATGTGCACTGATACAAGTTAATATATTTAGTGAAGATATATATGTATTCCTTGCCATTGTCTTCTTTTATTTATTTATTTATTTTTGGTTGCTAATTTTTGTGTAGCCCTTTTTGGTTAAGGGCAGGGGCGGATCCACATGGGATCATGTGGGGTCAAATGACCCCACAGTTTTTTTTTTTTTTGTGCGCTGAAAACTTAATTTTCTGTCCCAAAAAGTCCAAATTCTAAATCTATATCCATGTCCATTATTTAGTCCATAGATATATCATATAATCCACCGATTTCTTTCCAAAGTGCAAATATCGAACATGAACAGCAATGTTAGCAAACAACCGATTTTTCCTTTTTGTTCATGATACGTTGTTCGAAAAAAAAATTGACCCCACAGTTCAAACTGTCTGGGTCCGCCCCTGGTTAAGGGCATGTAGAAATGGAAAAATATTCTGATTTTAATGAGCGGAGATGGTAGACATGGTCTCATTTTAAATCTTAATTTTATATTTTGAAACTATTTAAAAATCAGATCAAACATTTCAAACTTTTCAAAAATAGATGATAAATGAAGATATTTTTATCATTAACCTATTTCCCAAAAATCTCTGAAGAAGTAGCGACGAGGAGGGCAACCGTGCTCTATTGCCATCTCTAAGGGTGTAATGTGGTGCCGCTCGCAAATGCTTAAGGTCTATGCTCCATTTTGACGAAATTTTAACAAGCGTGCTTGTTGGCAATGGTATGGCTCGTTGTTGATTATTTTGTTGGTTTTTAATTAAATGATAATACTCAATTATAAAGAAAAAAAATTCGAAAAGAAAAATATTCAGAATATGAAACTTTCGGTTGAAAAAACCTTATGTCTGCTTTAAATATTTAGTTTCCATTTGACTCTCGTTAAATTAACTCTTTATTTCTTATACTCATTTTCAACTCTCACTTTCACACAGTATAATATTTTTTACGTAAACTCAAAATTTTTCACTACTTCTTAACAACACATTCCCTTAAAATTCACTATTCAAAACATCATTTTCTCATAATTTCTCTTTATAATAGCCATCAAACAGTGGCTAATCTATTTTTGATAGTGTTTTGTATCATTCATCTATTTCCTTAGCTCATTTCTAAACAATATTTTAAAAAGCGTAAAGTGTGATTAGAGGATAAAGTCAAGCGTCAAACATTACGATCCTAAAGTTTGATAGAGTGTTTTACAATCCCAAAGCATTTTGAGAGCTAGAACTAGTGCCATGAACTATATAGGTTTTACATTCGAAGGCCACTGCGTAAGGGTTTCAAGGATAGCTCCATGGCACGTAAAAACCAACGAAAGGAAAAATCATAGAAAAGAGTGAGTTCGAATCAGTGTGATTAAAATTTGCCTAGCCCAGTATACTGATGACCCGAACCTTGGCTCGGGACGGGACGGGTGGGTTAGTCAATAATATATTATGCAAAGGGAAAATTTCATAAAAGGATAACTATTACCCATTTCAAAAGTAACAATAAAGGTTTCAAATTTTGAAAATCAAATATTCATTATAAATATAATTAATTAATTATATATTTTATTAATTAAATATATTAAGGTTACAAATTTATATAATTTGGTCATAGATTTATAATTAATTAACTACATATTATTTTCAATCACAAACTAGAATTTTTTTTTCTAAGTCACATTAATTTACGGTCACAATTCAAAAATTTTATAGGTCACAATTTGTTTATCGATCACAGATAAAAAGTTTATACGGTCACGGATCACAGATATTATAGGTCACAATAGTCACAAATTATTAATTATTTAAGTCACACATCATTTTTTTGTCACAATTTATCTTTTTTATTGGTCACATATTGTTTATTGACCACATATTAACCAATTTAATGATCACAATCAACCAAATAATCTGTGACCACCACCAACACTTGCAACAACCACTGTCTCCAATAGCACTAGACAACAACGCTACTGTCTCAAACAAATCAACACATCCAACCTCGATAGACCAAGCTACCGACATCTCACCTTCACCACCGCACCCACCGATACGACCGCTGTCGTCTACCACCACCCTCAAACATGGAAGCTGCCACCACCACACTCTTAACAACCAAAACGCCACAATTACCACACCACACCATCACCGCAATCGCCAAATTCACCACCACACAACCACCAAAAATCACCTCTGCCATTGCTACTCCAACATACCAAACCCAAAAATCATCGCCCAAACACCACTCATAGTTTGTCCCACTCCACCGCCACCAACAACCACAATCACCCATTCTCTTCTTCTACTCTGATTTGCAGCAACCATCTCCTTCCAATTTGAAGTGTACCTGAAGAGGACGTCCCCTATCTCGATTCACACAGTCATGTGGCACCAACTACCTGTGATCAGAGAAAAAATGGAGGAAATGACCTCTATCTACAGCATTCCAGGATCTACAAGGACGAGTAGCACTGTCGTGGATCTGTACCCACACAAGTACCATCACCGCCACCACTCTAAAACACCACCTAAATCTCTAGTGAAGAGAGAGAGAGAGATAATGAATGTTGGTGAAGAGTGAGAGAATGGAAGAAGGTGACTGGGTTGTGGCCCGTGGGAAAAATGTAGAGAGAGAGATGGGTTGTGGGAGAAATGTAGAGAGAGATAGTGGGAATTAGGGGCTGTGTGCAGTGGCGGATCCAAGATTCTTGGGCAGCTAGGGCGATCGTCGACCATCGACCGTAATCTTCTACTTTTCATTCAACCAAAGAAAAGGGGCACTAGATACAATTTCTAGGTGCTTCTACGTAGTGTCCAAAAGACAAACTTGATCATCTTTCTTTTACGAACAATGTACGAAGAAGCATATTACAAAGTACAACTAAGCTAAGTGAATTTTGGTTTATGAAAAACATATAACAAGAAACCATGGTCAAAATTCAAATCGTTTTTTATTGCTCCAAACAACTCCAATCGTTGAATTATTAACGTCTACAAACAGCTCCAAAAGCACCAAGCTTAAGAAGATGTCATCAGGCAAAATGGAACCTTCATACAGACATAATAGCCTGTTCAATCACATAATGCAACATTACCTATTAGCCTCCACCATAATTTGAAAAGAAATTAGAAATTGCCCGAGAACTACATAAAAGACTCCAAAATTAGCCCAGAAGGCTCAAATCATTTAAACTTTAAAGTCTCATTCAATAATAATAATTCATGCAAACACAAAAACAACAATGCGACAAAAGAAAATTTTCAATAAAGCATGCACACATGTAAAACAAAACATCTTTAGTGCTAAAACATAAAAAACCTTGTATAAACACAAGTAAATTAAAAACCTTGTATAAACACAAGTAAATTAACTCTATTATTGTGAAATATTAATGAACAACAAAGATGATTGAGACTTATGGAGAGAACAACGAAGATGCAGTAGGTTAATACCGGAGATTGGAAAGGCTTGACGATTACTCGGCGCAGCCAATAGCAGGTCGCAAGAGTGCAGAAGGAAGGGAGTGAGGTGGGGTTTGAAATTGCAATTCGTTCTCCCATTTTGCATTTGAATTAATTGTTACAATTAAATGATAAATACCTATTAAATTGCATCCAATGTCTTGGGCCAACTTTTTTAAATGATAAAAAGGAAAAAGAGGCCCAACCAAAAGAAAAGGCCTAGAATCAATCATCTACTTAGCTGTCATCTTCTTCCAAATTCCTCCATCTCCATGCGCGCGGCCTGAACTTCAATCTTCGGGCTTCCTCCTTGGTTCTGGCGGCAACAGTGAATTTTGGCTGAGCAAGCACGCGCGATCGCACCCCCTCGCCAGGTGCTGGTTCCGCCACTGTTTGTGTGTGTATTGGAGTATATATATTTAGTAAAAATATTAATTAAAAATAATACATCTAATTTTTTGAAGGTTAAACTATCCACCTAATTTTAGTTAGAAGATTTTAACACTAGAGATTCCTGTAATTTCCACTTATGCAAATGCAAGTAAACTAGTCAAAAATTGGATTTGACTTGGTCAATTAGAGGGTTTTTTTTATAATTGTTGAGCCAGACCGATTCGATTGATTTTTTAATCAAATTTTAAAACGTTTCTCTATTGAAATTTTAGGAACCAAAGATTTGAACACTTGACCTCTAACTCACTAGAACGTGAACTAACTACCACAGCACGCAACACTTTGTTATCTTTTTATGTGATAAACTATATCTACCTATGAATAATTTGTTGTCTTCTAGAAATACTTTCAAAAAAATTAGTCCAACATTTTCATTCATTTTATAATATCAAATAATTATTTTATATACACTTGTTTTATTTGAAAAAATTAGATTTAACTAAGATAAATTTAATAGATAATACACGAATGTTTGGTCAATAACTAACAAAAAGGAAAAATATAATTTTTTAATAATATATACAAAATTGTAAAATCAAAATGTAACCATTATCACTAATAAATGAGTTCAAAAAACCATTAATTTAAAGGTATAAAAATAATTAGTGACAAAAAACTTGAAAACTTTAATTATCTCTAACAACAACAATAATAAAATTATACTTTAAAAATGATTAAATTATGGGATCTTAACATAATTTCTAGTTTTGAAGATCACATTTCATAAATAACAATCTCATTAAAATATTTCACAAAACAGGTGGTACATAGATTTATTAAATATTAAAATATAATATAATATACATTAATTATTTCCACTAATTTCACCTCACCCATCCCATCCTATCACCCCCACTACACCACATTCCCTCCACCTCTCCACCGGAGACGGCTTCGGCTCCGACGGCTCTCCGACAAGTGTTCTGGCGATCACTCCAATGGCTGTTCAACGATCCCTCCGACAAACTGCTCCAATGACCACTCTGGCAACTATTTCGGCAACTGCTCCGGCTCGATGATAGAAAATTTTCAAAAATTTTCGAAAATTGTGGTGGTCGTAATGGTGCATTGTAGGTGATTAGACTGCAACTATGTTATCTGTGACCATACACTTGTCATATGTGACTATTTGTGATCAAATCTATTTTCGGTGTGAACGTATGTAACTGTCTAATTTGTAATTGTATGTTACAAATTTACTGACCTATGTTATCTGTCATTAATTGTGACTAACTTTGTCTTCGATTTAACCAATTGTGACCAAATTTGTATTCAATGTGACTGTCCGTGACCAGATCAATCTCAATTCACAACGGATCACAATCAACACAAAATTGATCACAAACAGTCACAACAAACACATACTTGATCACATAAGATCATCACAAACAAATCTGTACACATCGGAGACCTGTGATTGACTGTGACTAACTTTGTTTTTTGTGTGACCAACTGTAACTAAAATTATATTTAATGTGACTGTTTGTGACCAGGTCAATCTTAAGTCACAATCGGTCACAAAACCACAATAGCCAACTACAGAACCATCACAACTTACACCACCACCAACGAACCACATATTAGAAAATTATCGCATCCCCACCACCACCATGAGCACCATTGCATCTATAATATTGTCTCCACAATTACCACCACCATATCCTCTATCTCCATCTACACCACACTACCACCACAATCCCTCCAAAAAAATCCATAAACTCGCCGTCACCACTATAGCACACTCCTACTGCTAGCACCTCAAAAGCCATAACAAAATATGCTGCAAAATCACCACAAAACCCATAGAAAATCACCCAAAAACCACCAAAATCACCACTATAATACGCAATATTGGAGGAAATTTCAGATCCCCAAGTGGCACTATAGCACTCAACTCCGCTGCAATGAGCTTGCAGTGATTGCATTCACTGCAAATTGCAATGAGTGCGTGTTACTGCAAACAGTGGTCATGACCGCTACTCGCAATACCATTGCGAACGGCTACAGCCACCAACGCAATTGGCGACCGATCTCGTAAAACTCCGGCGAGAAAAGTAGTAGGTGGCCGAAATCTAGAGGGTGGGGTGGAGAGAAGCTGTCGAACCTGTGCAAGTGGTTGCAGTCGCCGATGTAGTAGGCAACCAAATTCGTAAAACTCCAACAAGAGAAGCAATAGGTGGTCGGAACTAGAGGATGGGGTATAGAAGAAGTCATCGATCTAATTTTAGGGTAAGAGAGTGACCATTTGATTCTTGGAGAAGAGAGAGACTATGTAGATTAGAAATGAAGGGTGTAAAATAAGTGTTCGTGGATGATAGGGTGGGTGGGTGTAATTAATTTGTTTTAATTAATTTAGAAATTAGTATTTACCACCTAATTATTGAAATTTAATCTTTCACCCAATTGCTTTTGGAATGTATTAATCTTGAAAAGAAGGGTTGTCGGTAATTTCCCCTTAAATTATTTTTAAATAACGACCCACCAGTCCGACCACCGGTTCACTAGTCCAACCAGTAATACGATGACCCAGTACCTCGACCGGGTCCATGTTTGGTTCGGGTCTAATAACTAAGCTCGCAGTTTCGCCCCTCTACAACAACCAAAAGGAAAACTAAGCCTACGTTTCCCTACTTGTTTCAACTTACAATCGAGTTGTCAGTACACTATTATTCACATCAAATACATATATCCAAGTGCCAGAATCTCAATTCGAAAAGGTAATTCAGCAGAGAAATTTCTCAGATACATCGAGCATTGTGTATTACTAACAATAGATTATCCCAACATCATCTATTTTTATTACACAATGAGATGAAAAAAAAAAACACTTACAGGACTAACAGTTGTTATATGCACTAGTATACAATCCTATTGACATGAAGACTGCTTGTACCTGAAGCTCTCATTATCCCGTCCTCCCTCAGGGTCCTTCCTCTTCAGAATGCCACCTGAAATTGATAATGACCTCGCTTGCTCCTCCACGAGCACTTGTGAATTGGCAACAGAGAATTGCCTCAACATCTCGTCTTTTCCATCTGCACCCATGGCTCCAGGGCCTGCATTGAGATCCAGTGCCTGTTTGCCCCACTTTCTGTTGCCCTCCGACCCCCAGTTACTGCAACCATCAGGAAGGCTGAATACATGAGGCCTTTGAAGTTGGGACGAGACAGCATCAACAGTTCCCAATAACTGTGAATTGACATGAGGTGTAAATACCCTTCCACCAGACGATGAATCCACATAAGAGGTTGGCCCAACTGGAAATGTGAAAGCAAAACCAGGGTACTGGAAATGTCCAGGTGGAAAAGGCACTGCAGGAGTTGATAACACTGATCCCCGGTGAAAATCACGGGTAAATATTGTATCGCCAGTAGAACTAAATATTCTCTGTGGTGCACCAGAAGGAACTATGGGAAAGGGATGGTCCCCTCGATCTGGTAATATTGGTGGAATTTTCATGGTTGAGTAAGTATTTGCTGGTGGAAACCAAGACGAGAAATTCCCCAGTTCAGAATTATTCATTTTAAGGCCAGCAGTAGGTAGCTGAGATGATATACCACCCTTGCCCTGCTGGTTCATTAAAAGCTGTTCACCACTAGCTTCATCAACTCCAGGCCCATTGTTGAGATCAAAATCCATCCTAACATTACGTGTAGGTAAACCACCTAATGGCTGAATAGACACAACAGGACTCTCCACTTTATGATTACCACTAGCTGAGCACTGACCATTATCATTTGATACATCAACTCTATTCAAATCAAGATCCAGGCCTCCCGAGCAAAGGAATGGCAAAGAACCTGTCCTCTCATTCTGCACCATATGACAATTGCTTGCATAACCAGATGATGAAACAACAGCAGAACCAGAACATCGAGAAGCCATTTCCTCAAGAACTCTTTCATCTGGCACATTCAGGTCGATATCCAATGGTGTGCGGCCATTTTTACCAGTAGAAGCATCAGGGGAAGTTGTGCTATTAGCCTCGGATGGTATTTCAGGAACCTTCCTGGGTTCAGCAGGCCGAAATGCGCTAGTGGCAGCTGATCCCTTCCATCCAAGTTCCCCTTTAATTCTCAAGAGATCATCTGGAGGAACAAAGGGACCTTTGGCGGCAGCAGCCACAGTAATGGAAGTAGGAAGGGCACTGGTAATAGGATTTATGACAAAAGGTGCCCCATTGATCATATGAACTGGGGTCGAACCAGAGGCTATCATATTGACCAGCTGCCCATACTTCCCATCATCAGCAGTAAAACCTTCATTTAAGTCGAACTTTATCTTTGTGTTCAGATCTGATGCTCCTGCACCAGATGAAACGCAGTCGTCTGTTTCATTTACTTCAAGGCCAGCATTCTTGGATTCCCTCAACACTCTGTTTTTTTTCCCTTCGCGAGCCAGAGATTCAAGTTGCAAATTTTCAGGAAGCGAAGCATGCTCCGGAATCTCCTTATTTTCTCCAATGACATCTACACGATGATTCTTGAGATCGTTAGCACGGGAATACAGACCAGATACCACTTGACCTTCTACAGCCACACTTTTGTCCATACCCTTATCTAAGCTCTCTCTTTCAGATTGGCAGATGTAACCCTTAGTATCATTTTCATCTGCTTTACCCACTTTGACTTCACAATTTTCCAAAATTGATTTCTGATGAGATAATGTTTGCTGCAGCTCTTCATCACTACCTCCTTCTGTAAGTTCATGCTTGGCAATGGCAACAATTGGTTTCTGCTGAGAGTGAATTCCAGTGTTCAACCCTTCATTCACACCACTTTTGTAGTCACCTTCACACCGTTGATTAAACGATGGACCTTCAACAGTTACCTTACTCACTTCCGCACGTAAATGATCAGTGGTGACCTTGTCTCCACTTATCATTTCTGTTTGGCCAGTTTTACAATCTGAAACACCAATAACGTTAACATTTCTTAAAATGGCTTTTTCATTGTCAACTTGTTTACCCAATTTACCATCAACTATCTTCTCCATGGAGATGGGAAGCGCCAAAGAAGTGGTAACCTTCATTTCATTAGACTTCTCAATGATCTCCTCCTTAGGATCTGCAGTGCTTTGCAGATCAGTGCTAGAAGAGTCAAAGTGTGCATCACTCTGTCTAGCATATATCTCTACAGATGTACTGGATGGAGCACATTTTCGGTCACCAGATAATTCAAGCAATGCATGTTTAGGCTGATATAATCCATCTTCGGTCAACACACTACCAACTAAACCAGCCAGCTTTCTAGCATGATCAGCATCATGAGAACTTGGACTTCTCACCCCTGCGATATGATCTTTAGAAGAAGACTTTGATCTGGCTTTCTCGTCAACTGCAGGTGTGCTTTCTGTAGAACCGGTAGGCGATGACATTTCTCCAGTAGCCACACTAGCAAGTAGGTTAATTCCCACATCATCTTCAAGTGATAAAGATGAATTTGCTTCAGAATACTTAACACTTTCAATTAAAGCATTCATGGGACTGAATGTAATCTTGTGCAACTTTCCAGACTCCAATTGATTTCCTTTGGTGCCTTCATTGAATTTCTGGCAGTTTTCAGTGCTCCTACTTTGCTCTTTGAGGGGAAAAGCTAAAGGTGACTCAGTACATTCATCTGACCTAGTCAACACATCTTTCAAATCGTCGCTTTGCCATGATTCTGCTTTCATCTCCGTAGGAACATTACATGGATATGCATCACTCTCGTCCTTTGGATTGTGGTGTTTGTCTGAGAACACGGGAGAAGAATCTCGACAGCTCATAATGGAATGATCTTCTAGAGATCCTCCAATAGCACATTGTGCAGGACTCCGAACCCGATTTGTTATCTTAACAATTAACTTATGACCACTTCCTTCAATAATGGGCCCCTCTACAGCCTTTTCGTTTGTTAAAGCAGACGGAGATAACTTTTCTAAAGCACTAGTTCTGTGCACTGAAGAACTTCTGCCTGAGCTGGTTTCTTTCTGACGTCCAGTGAGTGAGGTCCCAGGAAAGCCACTTGCTTTTCGATGATGTGAACTTCCACTGGATATCTTATTAATGGTCACTAAACCAGCAGTGGAACTCTTCCCATCTTTTGCTGAGGAAGACTGACAGTAATTATGAGACTGATTGGAACTACTGCTCCTGTCCTCCCTAATTAGAGGGGTATCAGAAGTGCAATCCGCAGAAATTCTGGGATGGCTCTTGCCAAATGCAGGAGATGATGCAGATTTCATTGAACCTGGAGATGAGGATGCCGACTTTGTGTTACTTTCCCCATGTGAAGAAGTTTTAGATGCAGAATGCTGAGTTATTGAGCTGTTCATGGCAACATCGGCAACACTTGAATTTCTGTTCCCACCATGAGAGGCCTCTGGAAGGCATGATTTGGAAGGCCATGAAGATACAGCTTGAGTTGAACCAGACTTTGCATCAATGCTAGTCATTTCAACCTTAACACGTTTCTTCCACGTGACAACTAAGCTCCGAGCCTTTCTCTGGATTTCAATGTTTTTATGTGAACGTAAATGATTCACTGATCTACCAATGTTGCACATTTTAAGGGCTTGAAGGTTAACAGGGAGCTTATCAAGTGCACGAAGTAAAACCAAAAGAAATTCCTCCACAGATGCATTGCTGTCCTTCAAATTATTACCATCACCAATCTTCCCTTTATGGATGTCCTGGAGCCACTCATCCAATACAGCCAAACCCCTAAGCTGAACAAACCGACTAAGACAATCAAATTTATCAGTGGCAGCCATCACACCTGCAAGCATTGAACGACTAACCAAATCCAATTTTCTCTCCATTCTACCCAATTGCATTAGTTGGACGAGCTTCTCAACTCCTTCCAAATCCACAACTCCTCCCTTTTTTGTTATTTTTGCTATCTCTGATTTCAAATTACTATCAGTTTTGTGTTGAACAGAATCACCATCATCGATTCTTGAAGAACATTCCCTTTTGATGGAATCAGTGCCATGATCTCCTCTTTCCCTCTTCTTACCTTTGATTTGACGTGGGAAAGAAGTCCCATTGTTCTGACTTTTATCTGAACCAGGTTTCAATTGTGAGGTTGAAGTCGGACCATTAACTTGCTTTGGAGAATGACCACCAGGCTGCAAGGATGCATGCATTCTTGTCACGTTTGTATAAGAGCTTATCTATTTCTTCTTGTCACTCCTGTAAAATCATGAAGTGTAAATGAGCATCTTGAAAAAGAAAGAACAAAGCTAAGGAAAAATGTAAGGCAGAGAATGCTAAGGCAATTTGGAAAAAAGCACAATCATCAACACTATATCATCTCACAACAATAATACAGAAATTTAATCCTCCATAAATGAGCGAGCAATCCAGCGTTAAGAGACAATGTTCCCTATAAGCCCTTGTTTGATTCATCTTATTTTCAAAATAAATTTTTCTCTCTCTTCTTTATAACTACACATTCTTTAATAAAATAATATTACACGCAAATCCAAAATTTTTTCTTACTTTTTAACTACACATTCTCCATCAATTTACTATTTGAAAATGCAATCTTAACTAAGTAATAGGGCTCAAATAAGGGCTCAACAATGGTCACTGGTTATTTTCGTTATATCTTGGAGAAATGATATGGAATGAGGAGGCAGCAAAAAAGTAGCACACATACTTCCTTGCAATGTGCGAGAAAAGAGTTGATACACACTTGATACTTTCACCACCCCAACCCCAGAATCCAGCCAATAGAACATGTAACATAATATAGGAAATTTGTTGGTGGCTCTTCCATTCTGCTCTTTCTTATTCAGTCCAAAATAAGATGAGTCGCCATCTCTTATGATTCAGATACGGAAATCAGTACTAAGTAAGACTTTAACGCAATTATGATTTGTTCGTTCAAAAATCTTCTTGATCAGCTTACTTCATCGTAAGACAAACCGCCAAAGCCCTAAAATAGTTCCTTAAACATTAAACACCTCGCATTCAAAACAAAATCCTTTGTTGGTCAAACGATAAACAAGGCATCAGTAATAACCACTTGCTCCTAATGGCACAAGTTATTATCTATAAGAAATCTTACTAACCAACAAATTAAGGAAATGTGAAGCTATAGCATTTTAGGCAGGTCTTACAGAGACACGAAACTTGCAATGAACGGACAAAGATAGTCTTATCCACTTGTTCAGATCATGCCAAATTATTAAGCTCGCCTGGGAGATGATTTATACTTTCTATATCTCAAATTGATGTCACCCACTTTTCATTTGGAGGTTTCTAAACAGCGTACAATACTTCAATTCATCATAATAAATAAAAGAACATATATAATCTACATCTTCCTCCACTACATTCTTTTCTTTTAAGCCAAACTCCACTTTTGAACTCTGAACCCGTTGCCAACACAGTCAAAAAACAAAGATCACCATCACTCCACTCCAAGTCAGCACAACACACCACTGCAAATCTCGTGGCACAAGCACTACCAACAGCCAGTCATTAGGGATCATCAAGGCATCGCTCATCATCTTCTACATCAACTTAAATTATTGACTGCCTGGGGACAACCTCCCTTTAGTTTACATCTTCTCCATCATCAAGTGTCACCTACCAAGACCACTACTATAAACATCAAGTAGATATGATTCCTAATTATTGTTTTTGTGTTCTAAATTATGAAGCTCGTTTTGGGAATTTTATAAAGAATGCAATGTTTTTGGATGTTTAGAGATTTTTCTCCCCCTTTCTTCTGATTCCTGCAGTTGAGTTATTGGGGACAATCATCACTACAGAAGTTTGGGAAGTTAATTGGCGGTGGCAGTCTTTCCTTTTTCGTTCTCGGCTTTTAAATGCAACATTGAATAGTAGTTGAGCTACTTCCAAACTTTCCTCAAGTGATAAGGCTAAAACTGCGGCACTAACAATAGGTTTTGAAAGTTGGCCAGGAAATGAAGTTTTTCTTCCCCCTCCCCCCTCTATGTGTTGTGTTTGACAAGACATTGCTCGTCTGCAATTATGGATTGAATAGTTTGAATAGCTGCTGATGAGGGGAAGTGGGCATGAGAGGTGCGGCAGGGGCTCATGGGGAAACATTCAAACCAACCATGGCAAAATCTTATTCATGTGGCACAATATATGAATTTGCGAAAGGCATGTAGAAACTCTCGAAACATTGACTTTTTACCCAACTTAACGTGTGCCCATTGCTTACGTATAAAGGATCTTTACTGGTACTGGTAAAAACTAAAGTTTCCCAGCACATATGACATACGTATTCCAAAAAAGAATATTTCCAACTTCAATTCCGCTACATCAGCAACATCACAAACACGAATCAATACACTCTCATGTCAATTAAATCAACCAATCAATAAACACTTGCTACATTAATTTAAAAGTAAAAGAATTAGAAATTAGAGGAAATAACTCACCTGAAAATCGAACTAAAAAATCTGCAGCAATTGAAGTAGAGCGCAGGCACTGTCTGATACTCTGCAGATTCCTACTACTCCCCTCACCACCTTCCCTCCAAACCCTCCAATGAATAATAAAGATTGCTTCTTTGCACTTCTCCCAATTTTTACGCAACCAAAAACTGCAGCACTAAACAACTATTAAATCAATTTAATTTCCCCTAAATTTTCCCTTTTCGTATCAAAACCCTAATAAATCAAATCCTCCAAGCTTTTTAAATAAACCCACAAACGCCCAAATCCAAACTCGAAAACCCCTAGATCGTAGTCCGCTCAAAATTGCAACTTCATCTTCAATTATTCTACCTGCGAAACGAAAAGTTACTGCTCATCAGTATTCCGACATAAAACACACCATTGATACCTAAAACACAGAGACATGCATAAAACACACATATATACACTTACATATATGAGTTTTTCATAATTACACAGACTGAAAATATAATTAAACAAGCATGCCTTTGAGACTTGACGAATCTAGGGAGAGAAAACGGTGCAGAGAAAGATAAAGTGAGAGAGTAAATCGTGCCGTGAGAACTCGGCAGACGGCAGAGGGAAAGGTGTTTTTATTTTCTGTTAGGTGCCTCAAATGTTGCTTTAATTGTAAATTTGACCCCTTCATTTTCAAAAATGTACATTTATACCCCTGTCGATAGGAATCTTCGCACTAGGGCTATTTTGAGTGGATTTACAATTTTACCCCTGATTTACTTTTTCTGTAAAAATGAAGGAAAGGAAAAATAAAACTATAACCGAGCAGTTAATTTCACTAGCAATAAGCAATCACTGAAGTTTATGGAAATTTTCAAATTAGTCATTTCCATATTTTTATGATCCATTCAACTGCTAACATTAAAAAATGCTACATTCTAACAAGTGACATGTCCAGCATAATAGTTGTTAGACCTTTACATAATTAGATGGACTAACAATCGTTAAAGCGATTGATTCCTTTAGACTAATATCATCTTTTAGCTATGTCTTGATCTTTTTACATTTTATTAATGATAAAAATTAGAGAGAAGGTTAAAAAGAATTTTTATATTTTTTTGGTTACATATATAGCAAAAATGATCTCCTAAACACCGGTATTTAACATGACACACAATTTAATTAGTGAATACCGGTGCTTTAAGTACTGGTGCTTAGGAGATCATTCATGTGTGTGTGTGTGTCTATATATATATATATATAAGTTTGACGATAATTATATCATGGGCCTGTTTGGGCTCGATTTTTTCACCCAAAAAATTGATTTTTTGACCGTTATTTCACTATTTCAGTCGTCATATTTGACTTCTTCTCTCACGGGTGGATCCACTTTTTCTTCTAACGGTCAAAAAATCAATTTTTCAAAATCACTCTCAAACAACCTCCATATAATATATGACTCCATATAAATCTTTTTCTTAATTTTATCAATTCAAGTAGAAAGTAAAATCTCATGAAATCCTTTTTCTCGAAGTTTTCAATATTATATTCAATATGTTATAGATTGATAGAATAAACTAACAGAATCATTCTACTTATACACTTTTTTTTTTCACAGCGTACACACGCAAGTGGATGGGGTCCACGATTGGACCCCACCTTTATGAGAGAAGTGTGAAAAATGATGTGAAAGAAATGATGTATAAATAGGATTTCTCAAACTAGCAACCATATTAGATAAATCTCTTCTTTAACTGTGCACAATTCACTGCACCAAGCATATATTTTTTTGAAGCACCCGGCCAATAGGGGGCACCACAAGCCCCATGTTTGGACACAGGCTTCTCCGTATAGCAAGGCTCATATTTTTTATGCCCAAACGTGTTGAATTGATAAAGTTTTTTTTTTCTCTAATTTTTTCTTTGGGTTTATTTTGAAAGATTGGCCACAAATACGGAATTATTTGTTAGCATGAATTTTTAAAATTTTATTGGAAAGATTTTTATTTTTATTTTTTTTAATGTGGGTTTTTTTTTTTTTTAAAAAATATTTAAAAAAAAAATACCTAATTTTAAAAAAAAAAAAAAAAAAAAAAGACATATATGTATACACTAAATTTTCGGTTCGTTACCACCTATTTAATAAAATCGTGCAACGAATCACGTTTTAATGAGAAAAATGTGCCTCGCTTACATATGAGATGATTTATTGGAAACAATTTAAAATTCATTTTAACGACATAAATTTTAAGATCAAATAATTAAACACTAGCGTTTGCTCGTGAGAGAGATCGGATGAGTTGAACCTATAGACAACGAAACAAATATGTTGAAACGACATCTTGGAAGCTCGTCCAACAAGCTTAAAAAGAGGAAAGGACTTGTAACATTTGGATAAACTTATAAATTTCTTATAATCTCCTTATAATATAAAAAATAATGGATCTTGTTAAATGTATGCCCAATAAAATAATAAACCCTTGTTTGATTCCCATTCTTCGATAAAAAATGAAATTTTCTACAGTATTTTGACATCATTTCTATCACATATTCTTCAATAAAATAATATTACAGACAAATTCAAAAAATTTTCTTATTTTTTAATCACACATTTTTCATCAATATACTATTCAAAAATTCATTTTTTCCTTTAAAATGTGGTTCAAAGAAGGGTTAATAATTACGAATACAACTCGTTATTCTTTATCTAAACATCGGCTATTGATACCTTGAAGAGTCAAATTGAGGGAGGGCGCAGGAAAGTCCGCACGGGCAGAGAGTAATAATGTCACCTGTAGAGGCACACGGAGAATGGATTGAAAAGGCATTGTGTTGACTCATTTGATTTGACTTAGATTTTCTAAATTGGAAGTTCTTCATTGGCATTGGCTTTTTGGATTTGACGGATGGTGTGATTGGATTACCTGAGGGTGATGGAGAGGTAGTTTTGGTATATAGGAATATAGGAATTATTCTTGGGGTGTGACGTTACATTAAAATTGTCAACTGATATTTTCTAGTCATTTGTACAATCTAACTTATCCTTATATTTTGCTATATAGAGGCATCAATTCAAGTTCCACAAAAGCAGGCACAAGAACAACATAAGTGAAAAAGGTGGTCTCCAAACCTGTTGTATCGTGGGGTCAAAAATTAAGATGTATTCAAAAAAAAAAAAAAAACCTAATATTAATAAAATTAAGTAATACACTACTACAATTATAGTCTATGCATCTTAATACTTTGAAAACATCATATAGTTATATCATTATTAATATTGTCAAATAAATTTTACTACTTGTATAATTTTTTTACCACCTCATTGACAAAAGCCGAGTCCGTGACTAGTAAATCAAATTGAATGTAGGAAGTATTTGAATTGAAATAAAATCTAAATTCAATCAAGGAAGTAAATGAAATTCAAATTTAATTCGAAAGTAATTAAAATTACATTTAATCTATAGTGATCCTAAAATATTAAATATTTACTTATGCATCAATTTCTTTTTGAAACTAAGCAAAACATAAACATGAATTAAATCTAATTTCTTTGAATCCTCATAATTTTTAGTCGATTTTTCTCCTTAGAAGTAATTCCTCACTCACTATGAAATGAAGTGATATAGAAAATTGTTGTCCATAGCAAATAGTATTTTAGACAATAACATATAGTGATGTATTATTGACTACGTGTTTCAACAAAAACTTTCAATTGTTTGAAAATATTGTTCGTCAAATTTATTTAGAATAATATTCATTGTATAATTTCTTCGTTTTTCATTGGTGAATAGTATCATTTGCTTATTCCAATCATGGTTCGGTTAGTTTATATTTTTAATGTAGGTGTCGACTTTTTATTTGATAAGAAAATATAAAAAGATTTAGTGGGACATCTTAAGGTAAAAATATTTAGAGTTCTTTTATTTCATTGAGTGTTATACACTCTTTTTCGTGAATGTCATGAACTTAGTCTCTTGCGAAGTGAGTTCATTCGAAAATTTCTAAATTTTAGTCCATCCTAATATTATTTTCTGGTTCCGCCCAACTCAGCCTTCTCCTTCCCAAGATTTGCTCTTGGTCTAATTATGTAAAAATTACTTCATGTGAAACGACAGGCAATAAATGATAATTTTCATGTAAAATAAAGTCAAACGAACACTACAAGATAGATGATTTTCTTGAATTTTTTATTTTTATATTTATTTTTTTGTGTTGGCAATGGAAACAAATTTAATCCTCAATACCAGTAAAATCTAACAAATTTAATCCCCAATACCAGTAAAATATATCCCTTTAGTTGATAATTTTCATGTAAAACAAAATCAAATAAACACCAAAAAACACTTTTATTTCAACATTTTTCACGTGGAAAATTATACCAATCAAACACAATAATTTACAATTTTCAGAAAAACAATTCTAGGCAATTCAATTCTTTGGAATTCGTTTTCTAGGCAATTTAATTCCATTTTTGCAATCAAACGGACCATAAGTGCTAATCGAAGACTAATTTTCACTAAACTTTGTTTGCTGAGATTTTGAGGGCCTCTACATTCTATTAGTTGAACATTTCCTTAAAGTTCCATCATAAATCGAGTGTAGTGGCATCTAACTAACCCTTAGTTGAATGGAATTTCGATAGTGCACTTTTCAAATTTTCTTGGATATGGGCATCCTATCCCGTATCATTTTTCCAATAAATCTTCAGGTGTACAAGACAATACCGAGCACATTTGACTACTCTAGCTTAATTCATTCTCAACCCAAATATAAACTCTTCCCGTTATCTCAAATGCATTCCTTTTAATCCATGTAAACACATGAAACCTTGATTGAGCCCCACCTCTTGTGGGAAAATGTGTAGTGATTTTTTGAAAATTTTTATTTTTGAAATGGAGACCAAACATAGGTAATTTGTTATCATACAAAATTTTGGGCAAAAGAGAAAGAAAATCAAACAACATCCATCCCCAGACCAGATTAAGAAATGAGCCGTGATAAGAAAATTAATCGTAAAGAAAAATTCTCACGACAGGCGTATCATCATCTGGGCTTCTCTCAGCTTCAAAACAAGCAGTTAGGTGACTTTGATCGAAGTTTTCATATAGTGGGCCGAGTACGGTTGTAACTGCATAGTTGATTAAATAAGAGAGAATAATTTGTGGCCTGCAATGCAATGACAAGGTCAAATATTAATTTCTCTAACTAGTACAAGAAATCATCGAAACTACAGTGTTAAAAAAGTAAATATTATTATGAGCTTGTTTAGGAGAGATTCTCTGAAAATTATTTTCAACCGAACATTGTATGAGTCTCATAAATTTTCCTACTTTTTAATCACATATTTAAAAAAAAAAAATCATTTTTCATTTGAAAAAATCTTTCCTAAACAAGTTCTATAAAAGATGGCCAAAAAAATCATTCTCTGCACCATAAGTTGAAAATTCTCTCATAATTCTTCGTCTCAGGAGTTTGAATTTAGCCCATGTTTGACCCCATTTTCTAGAACTCATTTCTTCAAATTCATTTTCAATCATGTATTTCATGGGATTTACAATTTTTATCAGTTTTTCAACCACTTATCCATCAAAATGTAATAAAATTTTATTTTTATCTAA